ATCGTTATTCACGCAATGCTCCCACCATACGCGGGTGATGTTGCGCAGACAACGGTTGTCGAAGACTGATGGCTGCTGGACGTGATCTGCTCGGAGAGGCCAGGTCTCGCAGCCATAAAGCAACACGGTGCGTACCGTTGCGCAATACACACGCCCTTTCAGTGAAAGGGATATATCGCGCCGGCACCAGAGATGCCGCAGATTAGCGAACGCTAATCTAACTTTGATCACGCGTTGAGAGATCTCCTCACCCACACCTCCGCCAGCCGTTATGCAACTCCCAAGGTAGACAAAGCTTCCGACTACTTCCAGAGTGTCATTACCCAAAGAAAGTGCAGGAATGGGTTCCTGCCAATCTTGCAACAACACTGCCCTTTGAAGGTGCAAATGACATACCATAGCGATTAACCTCAATTGCCAACGGAGAGCATTTGTTGCATAGAACAGAACGAATTTGTCATATGGTAAGCCCAAACAGTTCAACAAAGTAATTTGTAGTTTGCTGCCTCCATCTTTAAGTGTTAACACTATGGTGGCTCCCTTTCAGGGTACAGGTATGAATTTTGAGTTGTATAAGGGGTGTAAGAGAGGTCCTATTCTAGATTAAAGGGTAGGACTTAGGGTTTAACCAATGCACAAATGAAAAGTATTGAATGCTGTACACTTATTTATCTTCTGCGGCCCCAAACAGGTAGTACGTTTGGTCAACGATAGAGTGAAGTTAATTACTGTTACGCCTGTTAATTCTCAATAGGTAAGAATCTATACACGACAAGGTGCAGTTGTCCAATTTGCGTTTAAAATCGATTGTAATTTCATTGTTTTCCAGTGATTTCAGTAGTCTACTTCAGAATATTATTTTCTTCTTGATGAAAAATTGCTCACAAGTGTAGTCGTTATTTCGGTTATCGGAAGTACTAGGATTTAAATTCTGATGAACATATTTATAGTGAACGAGAAAGCATAGATTCACTCCCAATCATTCTATTTGCTCTATTCTCTCCTTTGGTCTGATACCATTCTTGAGACTGGACATTGCACTCCAACTAGGAATGAAGTATCTCTACATATAGTAGGAAGAGACCTTATTCTGCAAACACTATTACGGGTACGGCATACAAAGGTGATATTTGCAAGGATATAACTTGTATATGCTCATATATATAGTACCTTATCCGAGGAGTTCTTCATTGCCATTTCTGTTCTAACGTTTTGTAGTTTCGGCTTGAAGATTTTTAATGACAAATACTAGGTAGTTTGCTTGAGCCGTATGTGCTTCAAGGGTAGTAATTTTTTCTAGTTTAATATTATGATGTGTTTGCTAAAATAAAACGGGATTTCTGGAGATCACATGGTAAATAACTGTTACCATTGAAGAACAACTTTAGGACTTTAGGACTGAACCTTTGTGCGATTTGTTAGTGACATTTCCAAATGGACCTGATTATTTACCTCAAATCCTAATCAATAAAATTGATATGATGCAGTTCTTTGTTTTTATATTATCCTTGGTATCTGCAGTCCCACATTCTGCGACTATGTGCGTTGAAGGTCTCGCAGAGGTTAGGATAGCAGGCTTCCCTCTATCTCACGGCTTGTGACCAAATTCAAAGAAGCTTTGAAAGCAGAATCTTTTCTCGTAGAACCCATGCACAGTCGAGTTTAGCAATTTTTGGTAGCCAGGCGCAGATTACTGTGCCTAGTATTATGCATTATCTTACACTTCTCTGAGGTCAACCAGAAAGCTGAGTAAATAATAACAGAATTATCTTTGTGACAAAGAAATCAGTCCAAAATAACACTGTTCACTGGGAACTTGAAACAAATGCTAAGCTGAATGGTTTAAGCTCTTGCGATTGTGTAATGCTGATACAGTTGTTTCAGGCCAATCAGTCTGCAGCATTCCCATCCTAGGCCATTTCAAACGTTTATCATTTTTCGTTTTTAATCTTTCACGAAACAAATGATCAGGTAGCAGGTTTAAATAAACCCCCACCAATGAATCACATATTGCGAGGATGCGGTTCATTCAGGGTGAAAGCTTTGTATATAGGTTAGATGGCAAACGTCTTGTGGTGAACGCAGTCCTGGTGACTGATAACCGCATATTCTGCTGTCATCAGTTTCCTAGATTTACCCATATAGAAAGCTGAAAAGGTAAATGTGTTATCTTCCTTCATGGTGGCTGTACGTCTACTACTTTCGGTAATCTCATAAGAGTTTACCAGTCACATAAAATGCTTTTGGTCAACCTTATTTGGGCATGCAAATTATGTGTCTAGGATCATGTCTGGTGCGGACAAATTGATACTTAATCCAAAGTAAGTTGAAAAACTAGTCCACAAGTAAAACATGCCAAACTTAAGAGAATGCCCACCTGGTGTATAGTAATTCGCTGTCACATCGCGACGTGAAGACGAACTCAGAAAACATCATGGAACTATCCACGTATTCTCCCCCCCCCCTGAAATAAAGTAGCACCGGAATAAATTGCATATAGCTCAAAGGAATAGCTAAGCTTATAAATTTTCCAGTCGTGTTTCCCTCTGTCAATGCTGGAAAAATGCTTATCCATAATCTCAATGGTATACATTAGGGGCCCAGATTGAGGTGATAGATGTTGCTTTCTCATTTCCATTTGTAGAAACACGCACCGATTGATATCTATCACACACATTTAAGAGGAGGAGTACCAGGGATGGAACCAAAACAACAATCCGCACGTTCGTTTAGTTGAAAATGAAACTGACTTGTATTATATATGTATATATATTTCATAATAAGTAGTACGTGAATGACTGGACAAAATTTCCCCGGAAGCACACGGTTTCGCGGCTCTTGCCGCTCATCAGGCATGCGTATCCGGTAATCTTTTGTCAGTTCATTCATATACTTGTACTCAGGAAATGTATTTTCACAGAAGGAATAGCTGGATTCTTGACATTTTTTACTTCCTTTTTTTCTCTATTGTGTATACACATGTACAGTCCATTTCCGGGAAGTGGGCTGCGGCCATACAAAAGCTATCATCAGCAAGATGGAATGAACAGTTTTTCTTCATGACTGATCGTCCTTCGGGCTTCATCTTTCTATACAGCTCTCGATTCTTCCGGTTAACTTTATACTCAAAAAATACGCCACCACATCGTTCTAATCTGCACCCTTTTCTCACTCTTTTCTATTACTGTTGTTTCTGCGTAAACACCATAATTGTTAGCAAATCGGTGATATATGCGTGTGTTTTCTGTGAACAGAAGTGCGGAACATGAAGGGAAGCAAGGGTTATTGCAATTCTAACCAACTTGTACCAGATTAGGCCTAAAGGGACAAGTGAATTTTGCTTAAATTTGGTGTGGTTGTGGGTCGCGTATCTTTTTGATCGATAGCTTAAGATCTGAATAGCTGTGATTTCTTTCTCAGGTATCGCATCCAAAGTTGGAACGGATGTCTTTGAAGAAATTGTGCGTCGTGCTCATAGTATTCGATCCGTATAGAAATGTTTGGATTGACTTCTTTCTATCCAGTTGGAAGCCATTCATGGAGCAGGTATTCGAATAATATTCGAGTAAACTCCCGCGATTATGACAGCTGGAATTCACGTTCACCTTGAAATTTAACTCATGCTGTTAGTGCGCGATCTTCACTGCTATCCCTTCCAGTAACTATTGACTAGTGATCAGAAAGTTACTTTGGTTACCTAATTGACGTTCATACGATGAGTAATCACGTTAAGTATTATTGCTACTTTTATTAATACTATCACTATTATTACTACCATTATCCCCACTTCCGAAATAAAATGAAATTTTTAATTACAAGCTTGCCATGGGATCACTGGCTTACTTATTTTATTAGACGTGAAACACAATAGCATAGAAATTGCTTATGCCATAATTTTATATGAACATGCATTCAAAATCATAAACAAAATTTGTGGTATAAATAATATCTATGTATCAAAAATATCCTAGAGATAGTATATTTCTAAAACAATCATAAATAGAAGATAGTTTTCTCTTGAAAATCAAAATTTAGATTAGAATGATTCATAGTATTGATAATTTTCTTTTTTGCAATTTGATCAAGATCTGTCTGTTTTGAAAACAGAACATTTGGTGTCGGTAACAGATGGCTACTCCCCTGACCGAGAAACAATTGAAAGCAAAAGCAATTCAGTATTATCGGGAAAATTCCGTGCTGAAATGGACCGAGCAAGTACTCAACAAGATGTTTCACGATAATCCGCAAGATACAGCCGGCTATTTGGTAAGTGTATGCAATTCGAGCCTCGCGACCCCTGTTCCGCTTGTTCTCCGAAAATTCCAGTGCGATTTTTTCAAACGGCACGCTCTATCCCCTCGACTAGTCAGTTTAGTGATCAACAAAATTCTAAACTGCGCGACGACCGGAATTTTGTACGAGGTGCTTATTACCGGAACGTGGTTACAACAGACCAAGGTAACCACGGTTGACATCATCTTATTACTCGTAGACATTGATGCGACTTCGATACTCCGTGCCTAAACAACAGGATGAGGCTCTGACGTCCGTGGAAAGCGATGAACATTTGGGAGTAGAAACACTGTTTGAGGAGGAAATTTTACCACACCTGTTTGAGAAACCCCTGACTTCGCACAGTCTGGAGTTGATTGATGAAAAATTGAGGTAAGTTACCAAACCGAAAGGCTTTTTTATAGTTATATCTGCATCTTCCAATTGATAATATGACCCGCTCTCAGGAATTAAACACCAGTTATACTACTTTTACAAAAGTTGCACTGGTCATCATCAAACACTGTAATTCTCTATCTTATTAGTAAAGTTGTGTTGTGAATAGAGTAAGGTTCCTCGTGATTATTGTTCAAAATTGGTCTCATTTGTGAGGTTTTGGGTTTCATGCGGCAGCACCTGTTCGTTTGATTTACCACCCTTATCGAGCTGATGGATACGCACACGAAACAACGGTACATATTAAACGGACGGCAAAGTATTGCTGACCTAAAATTTGTTTGTATATTTGTTTGGGTTTATATGTTTGCATTGAAGTTAAAAATGCACACCGAATAGAGGGCGTCAGTTCAGAAAACACGTTACGTGAAAATTGTCGCTAGAGATTGGTTTCTGTGCACAAATTCTGACGTAATTGATTAACAACCTATTCGTTTTAGGTTAGGAGTCGAGCGAGATAGATTACAGGAAAATTTGTATAAATATTGATATAAGATGTTAGATGTAGAAAGGACGGACGGATGGAGACGAAAAAAAGGTAAATTAAATTGTAATGAATGAAGAAGGTAATCTCAAATCTTATTGGTGAAGTTGATAAAAGAGATGATTTAACTATTGTTGTGTTTTTGGATTGAGGAATCGAACGAAACCAAGAATACCCCTCCAATCATCACTAACCCACGACAAATGTTTTTGAAGTCTTGTTTTAAGAGATCGCAAAACATTACAGAAGATAAATGGAGTAAAATTGCGAAAACTCATTGACGGACGAAAAGCGAATAAACTTACAATGGGATGCAAAATTACCTGAGCTTTCATAGATAAATAGAGAGGCGTCTCAGTTTTCCCATACAATGGTGAATGTGTATGGAGCAACAGAGATCGCTGTGGAGGATGAAGCTTAGCCACTCGGACGAGGTCGCTTAAGCCACGAGTGACAGACTGCGACCGGTGATCCCGTGGAAGCATATATGCAAGCCTGCAGGCAGCTTTACTCTCGTTCGGGTCATTACCACGTCTAACCTAGTGGGCTCATATGTGGTTTGTGACTCCAAGTCCTGGGGCATACATAGGTCACTATTTTTCGTGGTTGAAAGGAAGGTCTTTATCACTAGAAGGCTTACTCCATCTACTACCCGGAAAACACTATTGTGTAACAAAAGCCACTCACCAACTACGTAAAATTCGGTCTCAACCAATGAAAAACGCTCATTTTACAGGGTTAGAGAATCATAACTTCCTTGAGACAATTTGATCGGGTAACAAAGCTTGACCGTTACTATCATCCAGGATTCTCTCAAATCTTCCACCAAGGAGCTACTTCCAAATAGCGGAATACTTTGACCCAGTAGAGCATTACCGTTCTGGGACGATTCAAGTTCTGATTCACATGCATTTTTGCATCTTTGTTACTTCCATAATAATTACGCTAAACTATAGTCACCAGTTAGATCAAAATCTGTGTGTTATTTTCCATGTATGACGATGGTACAGGTTATGTGAATCACATATTTCCATTTAGCATGCAAAATTGAGTGCTTTCCATTTCAGTCTCTCTCGCTTTTTGTCTGCATCTAATTATCTGGTTCACAGAAAACCACTGATTCATTTTATAAACACGACGTATGCATTTTAAAACAATCTTATAAAATTTATATTTTACATTCGACTCACAGTTTATTGTGAGTAGTGGTGTGGGATAATTTATTATTATTGATTTCGGTTGACTATCCTGCGGACGATAGATATGCAATATTGATGAGCTCCAATAAGAGGGAAACTCGAGTCTAGTGCTTCTGAGTGTATGGTTGGATCGATGAACTGAGGATTGTGTGTGAAGTTGAAGTTCGAAGGACAGTCAGCTGAAATCAATAAAAAAATTGTATTGCAAAACAACAACAACAACTGTTATTTTTGTTATGATTACTGAAATGCTTGATTTTAAATTTTACTCCAGGACCTGGTTTGACCAGCGTTCCACAAGTCGACAGAAACAGGGAGACACAATGGAATTGACGAAAACAGAGGCCGCACCGAAAGCCACCGGGGTAGCAACAAAACCGACCGGACAAGGCAACACGTCAGTGATCATTCATTTTCTGCTCACCATTCTCTCCAATGGGATTGATCTAGCTTGAGATTTGACGCGCACAAAACTTCATAGGCAACAATGAATAGTATGTACACTAATGTGGATGCGTGGTGCGTAACTAAAAATGCGTAATTATCAGGGTTTTCTCATTTTTTTTTTCTCAATATGGTATTTGTCATCCATCGGCTAGCAACTAAAATAATACACGCAAACTTTTTAAATTCTAGCTGTCTTTTCTCGCGCAACCTCCTCGTTTATCTTAATTTCTGATCTTCTGTATCCATCCGAATTCTGAACCGGTAATGAACCCAATATGTCAAGGTTGCACCAAATGAATTCATATTCATAAAAACCTCACCTGCCAGCATTTTTTTTGTGAAGTCTCTCACTGGCGGTTTAATTTAACTCTCTCAAGAATGCAGTGCATTTTTTGGTAATCAATTAATACTACGCATATGAAATTCCACAGCTATAGCCGATAAATCTCAGGCATGGAGTTGTCCGATGTCTCTTTTGCTGGAACTCCAATTGCGTAATAAAACTTGTCGAACCTCACTTAGTCATAAAAACCGGATAGTCGTTTGTTGAGTAAATCTCAGCAATTAATGATTTCAGTCAGGGATCGGTGAGTTAAACACAAAATGTACCTGGTTATCACCTGAGCACATTTAAACGGAGTGATTGCCTTTCCGGTGCATAAATGGACAACGACTGCAATCAACATTGTATTGAACTCATTCTTTTACGGTGAAACTCCGCTGTAATTGGGGTATCGAATAACTTCAACGAGCAATTCACTCTAGACTCAAGCAGCCTTAGTGGTCCCAGATATGATCCTGAGTTCCGATTCAGTTATTAGATCTCGTATATCTAATAATCCGAATGAAACTAAAGCGCCAAACTTCTATCAGTCAAAGACAAATGATATCTGTAATTCCAACTCGCGAAAAGCCCACAAACCGTTACGTAAGAAGCACAGATAAACACTGCTCTCATTGATAAATAACAACGGCAGCTTTCTTTTAATTTTGACTTACTTTTACTGAATACGAAATAATACAGTTTTCAGGAAGGCGGAAGCCGACAATCAAAGGGCTGCCATACAACATGTGATGGGCAAAGTACGGTAGTGATGATGGGATTCGAACATAGATCCTTCGGGGTGATCATTTGGTGACGTTACTTCCGGGCCACCACCTCCCGTGTTATGGGTTAAGAACTATGGCTCTACGATTCCTGAGCCAAAGAAAGAACACAGACAGAATGGACACAGGATAGTAGTGTATTCGGTAGAGAAAACGGGTCAGCACATGTCTAAACATCTGGTCAGTTTTATAGACGTTCTGAAGTGTTTCTTACTGTTGACCAATCAGAAACGTTGAATCGTCCAGCTGAATGCACACACCCTATTTGACTAGCCACTTGAATCCGGAGGCTCGTCCAGATTGCAGCTTTTGTTCATTGGGGCTTTGCCACATAATTATCAATTCTTCGACAGGATTTTTCTCGAAATATAACCTTCTCGCCAGATAGAATGGATTTTGTGTATGGAACATGCACGAGCCGCATTTGGTTGACATATAACGTAGATCCAACGGGCACGTGCTTTATGTCGTCAAAACATCGAATACTGCATCAACGAATGCTGAATTCTGTGCATCTCTTGGTTTTCACGGTCACGAATTCATAGAGGTTTGATATTTTATCTGCCTCAGTTATAGTGTATCAGTTAAGCAAAATAAAATACAAACAAGTAATTACGCGTTTGCCCGATACTCAAGTGCTCATCAGAGGTTTCATGATGAAGCGAAGTTTGTACACGGAAAACAGCAACGATTCATAACGATCAAACTTCTTGTGAGTATATCCGGCCATTCTGATTTCAGATCTCTCTATCTCTGGATGATTTACAGGGAAATTTATTTCTCAAAATGATCGGTCTGCACTCAAGTGGTGATCGCTGGGGACAGAATCCCAGACATGACGGCTGAAACCTAAACACACGACCCCCTTGATCACTGGGAAGCTGATTTGACCGTTTCACCACATCCAGACTTGCCGCATTATTTCTAAGGTCCTGGATTCGGTTTTCAATGGGGTTAATTGACCTATAATGTCGATGAAAACCGACAGGTTCGAAATACCTGTACAGTACTTCTCAGCCTTTCCCTGCTTAGTATAAGACCGAAATCATCATATAACCTCCTTTGATTTTATATAAACTGATTAGATTATTATCTCTCCTTTCTTTTTCTGTTTTACTTCCTTTTATTGAATATAAAAAGATACAATTATCAGGAAGGGGGAAGCGGTCAATCAAAGGGCTGCCATACAACACACGATGAGAAAAGTCAGGGGGTGGCGGCGGGATTCGAACACTCGTCCTCCGGGATGATAATTGGTGGCGTTACCACCGGGTCACCACCGCATATGTAAAATTTCCATTGCTGAGATCTAACTGGAATACATTTATTTTGAATGAAAGAGAAATCTTTTAAAGTCAGTTGTCAAATTTGCTCATGAGAGAAGGAAATTAAAGTTTTTATGTATAAAATTCCGGTGTCTTTTACGTATGATCCCCATTTATTTAGATCAATGTGAAAGTTTGAACTGAAAAGTTTAGATTCGTTATGTAATGATCACCAATGTGTATGAAATAGTCCGATTTTGTGCTCTAAATTTCACGCCACCCCCATTGAGACAAGACCAGCTATTTCAAATTGCAAGAGTCAAGTTCCACTAATTTTTTGTATGCCGAAAAGTGCATGGTTAATGGTTTTAAAACCTGACCTGATAAACGGACGCTGGATGAAGAAGGAGCTCACAGTCCATTTAAGTAATACCTTCCTGAAAGACTTTCCTTATTGTTAGTTAGCTCATTAAACTCCATCAAATGTACGTCAAAAGCATACCCAGATTTATGGGTGAAACATTGCTCCTGTCCCACCAAGATGAGAGAGGACAATAAAAGCCAATATTTTCGGAGCCCCAAAATAGTTGGATGTTCAAAATCAGTTTACGCATACGGGAAAACTCAAAACTCTAATTAAAAAATACCCCTAGCATAGATTGGGGCTTATAGTGTTTTGAATACTGTGGGCTTGCGGATCACGTTTCGAGGACTTCAGATTTCGTATTTAACTCACAGTTACTTGTGAGTAGTTTGTGTGGGATGATTGATATTAATTGATTTAACTGATTATCCTTCGGACTTCACCTTCACGCGCAATCCTCAGCTCATCAATTCAACCATACTCTGGAAAGCACTGGACTCGAGTTTCGCTCTTATTAGAGCTCATCAGTAGTGCTTATCTACCATCCTGTCCGGAATTTGAACTCCGGAGCCATCGCATGGAAGGCGTATATGTTACCACTAGGCCAACCAGTTCATACCATGGCTGAAGCAAACTGCTAATTGATGTGTGTTCAGGTGTTGTCTTCAGTGATAATCAGTTATTCACGTGACAACTATTTATCCACAAGGAAACGTAAATCTTCTCATACTGCCCCGTTATCGGCGTTGCCATTACGTTGAATCAGAATTTAGTGTAGCTTCTCCCTCAACTTTGCTGTCAGTTCGATCAATCAAGCCGGGGATTATCATACGACCAAATTTGTCCTATGTCACTTCAGCTTGAAGAATCGATTTGTTTACGAACGCACAGTGACAGATATTTCATTCAATGATTAAAAATCCAAATCCCTCCGTGGTAATCGTCACATTGTTGCTGTTTCGATCAACTGATTGAACGGAATAGATATATCAGGCAATATGTTTCTCAGCCCCTGTCCACATTCCGCGGAAAAGGAGATCTACTGTAAATTATGAGTTGAGAATAAATAATTTAGCTATCTCCAAGGGTTACCCTCTAATTTGTTGCGGAGTTGGTCATTTATTCCACAGTTCTGTGAATTACACAATGATTAACCGTTAGTTTGTGCATTTGTAATCTAACAGTGAAGTGATCTGATGATGAGGATGAAACCGCGTGGTAAACAAACAGTGCATTGCATGATTTCATTATCTTACTAAACTTTTAGTTTATTCTATGCAAATATACCTAATTGCAGTTGATCATCCGTTTATTTTTACTGCTTCAATTACGTGATCTTTCGTTCGGTCCAAACTGATGTTCTCCCCATTGTGATCTAACTCGATTTTGCCCACCCATAATGTGAATTCTCCCCTTATTGACAGCAGAGCAAAGACCAGTCGACCTAGTACGAGTCAAATGCAAAACAGTGTAATCGAATTGGCCTCACCGGCAGCGTTTCACTGTTCTGCCGTTTCCCTTGCCTCACTGATAGCCACGTGTACCAGTGCTCATCTGGCAACCCCAAAGCATCGAGCTATCGAGCAGATTGTATCGGAAGTGAGTTGCTCTCTCTCGCACACAAGTGTTGGATATCCTCAAACTCACTGGATTTTTTTATTGCAAATAGGTTTTCATTTTAATTAACCAGTCAGACTGCTATGGTGAAACAGTTTTCACAACAACCAAACTAGTCTGTTGGTTGTATGTTCAAATCTCGTCAATATTTGTTCAATTTCTGAACGTAACTCGCTTAGTGCAAGGCCATTTACATTTACACGATATAATGGCCTAGTGGGTAGCATACTTGCGTTCTGCCTCTGGGGTACCGAGTTCGATCCCCAGTTAAGTCGACGGTCGCGCTGCTGATGAGACCCAGCCAGGTTGAAGCAGCTGTCCAGTGCTCCCCAGCTTTTTAGTTCACGCTTCATTTGCTATATATACGACGAATTTCCCTTTGAAATTGAATCAAATCCTTCATTATTCAAATGAAATATATACATATATATAATTCATAATATCTGATTTATTTGACAAGATTTCCCTTGAAGCCTATAACTAGCTTCGCAGTTGTGGTCGCTCACCATGTGTATGTGTCCCGTGGTATACTGTCCGATCATTATTATACTTCAAACGATGTTTACTTCCCCTACATATTTCTAGTTTTCAACCATGCGTGTATTTGTTTTGGCAAAGCTTTCTTAACCAGTCCCTTTCGGAACCATCACCAATATTCGAAGTCGTTTAAGTGGGATGTACATATACTTATACCATTACCAGATAAGTGTTGTATTGTGTTTGAAAGAAGCCAACTGAAAAGGTCACCTCAGAATTGCCTGAGTCTGGCTTTGAATCCGGATCATTTTGCTGAGTTTGTGTGCTACTGGCGATCCAAAACAAGCATGAGATAACTACTAGCCGTAGTAATTAACTTTTTACTGTCCAGAAAAGTGTGTATAGATGAACAAATTAATAAAACTGGATCAAAATAGCGATACAACAACCATGGTTAAAGGACTCCTGTATTTTGCATTAGGTTTCCTGGTTTTAAACCTCGCGATCAATCTAAGTTACTTTTACAGAGTATGGGTGATGTGACCCAGACTTGTTCATGTTTGTGTGCACCTGTGAAACGCATCTAATTATATCGCTTTCTGCATCTTTTACTGATAGATTCATGAGCCTTTCAATGGTTTTCTTACTTCTTACTGGGAGAGCAACCAAACGGGGGGCTGAGAAAAACATCATCCAAAACTTGAACAAGAAAGTGCAAGGTTGTGTGCAGTGAGAATGAAACGAAACAATAATAATAATAATAATAATAACAGCCAGGGATGATAATCATGTGGACACGGAAAGGGATCCACCTCAACGAATCAGTTACTTCATTTCGAACGGTCTACATGAATGAAGAAACATCTTCAGCTAAAGATAGAAAAGAAATGAAGCTTTGAAATGTGCGTGAACCGGAAAATGCAAACTCCAATGGGAATAGTCAGGTCCGTTTAACACTACTAGAGCGCAGTTATTGTCACCGCGGACGTGGTGATTGTTGCTCCTCAATCAATGTGTTTAACTGCCTAGCTGCATTATTTCCCTCTGTCATCATTTTTCGAATAAGCGTTTGTAACAGTTTGAAAGATGACTTGGTGTGTTCGTGAAGCGAATCTTCCTACAATCGCGGATTGCTTTTACCATTAGAATTTCACTGAAAAAAGTGTACACGCGTAATCCGATAATGTGTGCTCCAATGTTTATTTGTGCAGATACTGTCCAAAATGGCATTGTCCACTCCCGAGGTGGTTTTGACCCCACGATATCAGTTGCCTTTGCCAATTATTACACTATTAAACGGAATTGTTGTGGGCTCTCTTGGATCCGGACAGTTATGCAAATGTTTACGTCACATCCTACTTATTCCGAAACCCACCCTGAGTCCGACCGAGGCAAGTTTCATAACTACACACGTATTTTTGATAATCATTACCGAACCATTTTCAGATCTGTGATTCTGTTCTCCGGTGCAAGCGACAGGTGGAGGAGATGTTACTGTCCAAATTGCCAGTAAGCTTTCTCATTTCTATGCTTACTGTACATCATTGATTTCTTCACTGAATCACAAAAGACGTCCAAGAATAAATTGATAAATCAAACATTCAATTAGTGTTTGCAAAAAATCAAAGTTTTTTATATTACTACCGATTCATATATCTGGTTTTCTTATTATTGCCAATAAACGCCAATCATTATCCTGAAAAATCTGAAATTCTGTAATCTAACATTGATCGGTGTCATAACGCTGCGGTCGATTTCAGCCGGGGACGCAAATGTTATGTACCAACGGTGCACCTGCACTGCCCATGGATCGACCGGAAAGAGGCTTGGATTTTGTATTGGAAGCAATGCAACAATTGCATCTCAAAGACCAATTTCTACTCGGTTTACATTTGATCAGTCGTTCCATTTACGATCCGGTACGTCTATGCATAAATTTCATTCGGCATCACTCATGGTTGTTTTGTTGTCGTATCTGTATTTATTGATTATGTTTACATATTCGTCACAAATAACTCATGTGCAACACCTCGTAATTTTGCTTGTACGGCGTATGAGGTATTTTTGACGGCAATATACTTCCTGGGTACAAATATATCAATGAACTGACGAAAGATTACGAGGAGGCGCGTGCCTGACGAGTGGCAAGAATCTTGAAACCGATCGTGTGCTTTCACTGAAATCTTGTCGAGTTATCCATGCACTAATAAAATAATAATATATAATAACATGATATAATATTCGTACATATATAGTCACATAGGCACAAAATCGTGAATTGTTTTGTAATACTACAATGTGTGTGTGTGTGTTAATTTATCATACATATTTCATGTCCCTGCAATGCTTTGAATTTCACGCACCCCGCTTGGAGAGCTCTTTTGACAAACAACTCATACCGGGCTGACTAAAAATATCATTTAACATTTATTTTACATGTTTACTACACAGACAGTTAATGGTCTAACGGATTCGCGGGGAGACGCCGTAGGCTATCTTTTCTGGTCAATCGCAAGCTTCCCACGGATTCATAATGTAGCCCGATCTAATGTGGAACATCATTCTACCGTTCCATTTAGTATCGATCGTTTCTCAGGCTGAAAACCATAAATCGTGGACTTTGCGAAGTTCGTTTGCACTATTCGGTACATCCAAGAGAAGAAACTTAGCATACTTGTATGCAATGATATTTCATTTGGTAGTTCCTCTGTGCTTATCATTCGTGATTATAATTAGATAGTGTCCGAGACTGGAAGCAAAATTCCTATCGTGTGGCGTCCTTGGACTTCTCACTCCCAAAGCAAAACAACTTTGATCGCAACGTAGATATGTTGCACACCGGGTGAATGATGGTTCCGACAGACTATGAGACTTCTCCCTTCTGTTGTTCATTACACAATAAAAGAAGAGCACTGGTTAGCAAAAAAACAATAAGTTAATCAAGGAAAATATGACTCTCACAATTTTTCCACGGTGATTTATAAACCTTGTTTCCCAGGGTTGGTTTTGAGAACATACATTCTGAGTAGGCAAGATCTAGAAGCTGCAGCAAAAATTCGCATTGACGGGACAAAAATTGGATTTCCCTTTGATTCACGCAACCTAATGTGCACCTAATAGTTAGTAAATCGGTGGTATTTTTCAAATGATTTAAATCTTTGTGAGATTCTCTTGTTAAACAACACCATTATGCGACAGCACGGGAGTATTCGACAGTTTACCAGGTATCACATCGTGATACTAAAGAATTCATAGAATCTATGATATTTTGGTATAAAGGTGCATTGTAAACCTTTTTGAAAGGAATGAGTATCTCACACGTTCACGTTATCAAAGATAAATTGTATTAGAGTGTAACAAATATATCAATGCCCCAGTAAAGTGTTACGCACACTTACCACCGCGCATCTGAACCCCCCTAAACAAACCAAAATCTCATTGAATATATTGCATATATGCACTTGATATCTCAGAGCGCTGGTGCGAAAAGCTAGATAATCGAGGTTTCTGTTGGAATGTCTAGATCGTTGTGTTATCCGTCTTGCGTCTTATCCATATTTTGTGTCGCTTTCTTGCATGTCAAATTGCAACACTACAAATTAATTGTCGGTCGTTTGTTTGTAACCTTGAACGTAAGATAAAAGACAGCTAACTACTTCAAGAATATCAATATAAATTTCAATCCACAAAGTTCCTGTAATTAATATAGTGCGTTCACTTCTTTAAGCTTAGTAGGCATGTAATATGTTTTGGTCAGGGAGAGGACTCGACGGATTCGGACGAAATTATATTGATGCAAAACGTAGCAACACTATAAGAATACGAAATGGTTACAATACAAAATGGTACTGTTACGTGTGGGTACTGTTTTGGTCTTTGTTCTCAGTGTCTTGTATCAGTGTGTTGGGTGTCCCGCAACTTGTGCAGCCTGTAAAAGGAAATGGAAAAAGTGGTTATCAATGACAGTTCGACATTCAATTACTGGGCGTCAGTCAGATTCGGTTTCACACTACAGGTATTATATCCACAGGGTAGGTTTAATTTCTAACTTCGTCTCGTAATCTGTCCCCACCCCTTTCAACCCGCGAGCGACTGCATTTTGTTCCGCTTAGTTCTTGATTTTGTCTCTACAACCAATGATTAGTTTAGTGCCACATCTGCAAATGTTTATCTACAGGTCTAATCGAAACTGAAGCAACAGGTCCATGTGAAACACTTGTCGGTTCTCATGGGCAACAGCATTTATAATGAAGAAACTTTTTTTCAAAACTAATAATAAACAAGTCTTGGAGAGTCTTTATATCCGTGATTTTCCTGAATCGTTTATACTCAGCAGATGGAATGGTTCAAAATGTAGCGGATACTCCCATTTTGTCAATAGTGGTTGACCTAGACCATGATGAGTTAAGAGGTAACTAAAGAGAATGGAACAGTTTTTATTAACAACAAATTAACGTTGATAATAAGCAAGATGTAAAGTTTGTGTACACTAGTAGCCGATTAGTCTGCTTTTGTTCCTTAGAGCTTTTTTGAGTCTCTTCGGTGTCAAACCCACCAACTTTGTTATGAAGTCATTTTCTGTGTTGTGCTCTATTACGTATCGCACTTTTGCCTCCAAGGTCCAATGCATAGGTAGCACATTGACCTATCTCTTCAAAACAGAAAACAGATTTTCAATCACGTTGAGATCCGGGATATTAGGAGGAAGTTGCATGAATTGGACCTCAGAGCCACGCATCTGTTCTGAAGTCTGAAGACAAATAATAAGTGAACCAGACTACTTAACTAAATCAATTTACTAATCTCTCGTGAAACATGACACGGAGCGTTATTCTGAAAAACGATAACTTTTCCAGACGATTCTTTTTCATGAAATTCTGGAAAATTTTTCGAAATTATTGGTGCAAATTTCGTACTAATCATGGTGCCTTTGACTGATGTTCACCGACAAGGCTGACCATGTTTTATTCCTGCCCAAATGAGTAATCTCTGTCTATCTATCTATCTATCTATCTATCTATCTATCTATCTATCTATCTATCTATCTATCTATTTATCTATCACGTATATCATTATCTTTGAATTGATGTCCGCTTCAGAACGTAACAACCTTATTTTGTTGTTTGTCCAATTTCAGGTGAAAGGTAAATATGAACCGGTCACGGGGATGCTCAAAACTCCTGAAGAAATGGTCAACTACTATGCGGATCTAGTTGCCAAGTATCCTCAAGTTCAATTACTTATTGAACCATTCCGTAGAGAGGTACTTCCAACTTGAAGTTTGCACATGTGTTTAATAAGTAAAGTCTATCTTTCACGTCATAATGACTGTAAGCCCGAATATATAACTGGGATCGATGTCGGATGAAATTGAGGGGATTTAAGGCAAAGTACATTTTCTTCATAACTTGCATCCATTACGACTGAATGCAAGTGAAACAAGTGATGATTGCGTAGAAGGAGTATCCTGTTGCTGCATCTCAACAGACCTCATAAACATTCTGTCTACGAGAGAGAGAACGGAAACAGTTCATTTTTTCATATACAATCGTCCCAGAGAATAGCTACTCAGTTTTCTGTGATTTATATTTTACAATGAACTGATAGAGCAGCGTGTCTTAAATATGTGCGGAGCCCGTAATGGTAAGCGAAAGAACGTCTAAAAAAAGCGTAGCAGCTACGTATGTTTAGCAGCACTGAGTCTCTTGTGATCGATTCATCTTCCGTTGCTCGTTGTGTAAAGGAATTTATTCTGTCCCGACGAGAACTTAGGCTAAACACTGAGTTACAAAAGCCGGTTGCATGCACTTGTGTGGTGGTTATTGCGTTGGATAAATGAAATGAATACGGGGGCTACTCATTGCCGTGAATTAGTTTGGAATGTGTTTCGCTTGTTGGCCACACAACCGGGTCTTAGAGTAGTTGCAAAGCTCGGAGGCGTTTACAATAATGATTTTAAATGTTTTTAAATCCTTTTTTATCATGGGAGGTCGGAACTTGCTAGATATTTCTGGCAATTCCGACCACCAAAAATGTTTTTATGATCAATTTATATCAAGGGATCGGTCGAAACACATCAAACAACACAATGAACTGTAGTTCATACGAGGTGAAGTGAAAGCTGTGTCACGCCTTGCTGGTACAGATTTATTTTAATCAATTTCTCTATTTTTATTTTGATGCTGCGCTTAAGTTGAAACTCTCTCGTTTACACCTTTGCAATCGGTGGCCTAAATATAGTAGCTGCAAGCAAGAGAGCAAAATTGTCACTTGATAGGGGAAGGTCAGCTGTCGTAAGAACGGAAAATGACATCAACGGAGCCCGAACGCGTGGCTAAGATGCACTCAGACTTCCAAGTGATCTACTGAGTGTTGATTCATTTCTGAACAACGTTTGGTTTTCCCCTGCTGGCTACCCCGGAGGTCACCATAGAGTTTCGTTCGTTGTGCGCACAAGAAAATTTACCTCGTAACTACAATGATGATGCCACTTGTATCGTTTTATGAGTGACTCGAGAAACTATCCTATTGAATTCGTCCTTTTGGTTGCATAAAGCTTACTTTGCCCAGAATCGATTCCAGTTGGAGAACAAAACTTTCTATTTGGCTTCGCACCTCGTTGGTCAACTGAAATGTAGGTCGGGTGATCCATCTATCCTTCCATGCCAATCGCATGTGGTGTTTCGCTCACGGACAGACCGTTATTCCTTGAGATGAGAAAGTAGTATGATTTGTACGCAACAAATAAGCTGAATTCACATTGAACGCAAGTGGCACACTGACACTTTGGACGAAGTAGGGGGAACTGATGAATACGTTTCGATCGGGGTTTGGATGCCAACCACTGAATAGAATCAGCAAAAGTTCTGCAGAAGAAAAGAAAAAAAGGACAGCAGTATTTTACCTGGGGAAAAACCCGAAATGGATTTTCATGACAATCGATAGGTTCCTAACCATGATAACTTCAAGGTACTTAGTCACGAAACATGTTACTTTTTAGAGCAGACAACGAATGATGACCATGCTGAAGTTCTGAAAAGCGCCCCTCAAGACAAATTCAGTGATAAATTTAGAAGAGAAATGCATAAATAACTAATAGTGTCGATCATTCAAATGATTGTTTTCATGTAGCTGAAAAGAGGCAGAATAGTGAATATCTTTGTGAAAAAAATAGGAGGAGACCAGCGAAGCAATGGTCACATGCTTATTGTTTACCTATTTTCAGTCTCAGTCAAAAGGTTTAAGACTTTGTCTAACTTCCTAATGTGTAGACCAGTTAATACGTACAACGCACATAATCCGGGCTGCTTTTGTTTTGTAGACCAAACTAAGGACTGTGTTTTATCGGTTGAAATAAGTTTAATTTTACATATTTGCGAATGAAACCACATATGTGTGTTCAGAGCAAAATGATGGTTTGTTGTGACTGAGTCTGACTACTCAGCTTATTCGCATACTGGGAGGACACGGATTGATATAATCTGCAAATCATATTATCATTTATGCTGACCATTCTCAATCATGTGTATGGTTATTTTCTCTTTCCGATAACGATCTGTGCAGGACGCGCAGTGCTGGTCCATGCTACAAGATCGTCTCAGGTCTCAAGTTCTGATAGCGACCACGAATATTCCACAATCAAACATGTCCCCGGGCGGTGCCGGTTCAAGAAAAATATCCAACACACGACCAGGCTCATCGTTTGGTCCGCCATCCAGTCCCAGCATCGCCACGGTTGCCCAACAAAGTCGAGCCAAACTGAGTGGATCAGATCAAACCCTGGCGAGCACAATCATCACAGCTGATGGTCCGACAGATTCGAATCCAGTTCTAACGGATTCCGAGCAACATGAACGGGCACAAGCCAGCATAACAGAAAACGAAGAGAGAAGCTCAGCCACTGGTGTTCCGAATTCCGAAGAAGAAGACAAACCGCAAGAAATTTTCTCCGCTTGGTTTATCAACCCCGAGGCCGGTTTAGACTGTTGTTTGGTGACTGAATTAATCCAAGCGGTACATTTCATGCATGGTGAGTTAGATTTCAGTCGGGAAGTTGTGACATGTGCCGTAGATTCAATAGAATGTTGTACTTTGGTTACACGATATTATTATTCAAGGATGTGAAAAAATATCTTGTATATTCTCCAGTTTAGTCTAGTTATGAAAGGAATGGTTGCTTGAGGACACAAACGAGAAACATTTTGATACCTCACATATAACAAACCCATTTCTTTTTTGCGTCTCTAAAAATTCTCGTATGGCACTATGTTAATACCGTTTACCGTCAGATATGGGAATATGATAATAACGACACAAACTCTCCTCCAGGCACAATGCCTTTACCACGTGTGATACAATTCACATGTTCTCTATCCCTTCCTAACGGGATGTGCTTAAGCAGTTCCAATAAGATCGCTGTGTTTACTTCGTCTCTTTCTCTCCACACATACTAGCCAGATGACACGAGGAAGAATTTTTACAAAGTAACATGATACATGAAACAGTCAGCTGGAAATCCTCAAGAGCTATTTATCCATTGAGTTCAATGTAACACCCGAATGACCTCTAATGTTTCCATATGCTTATCCAAGTGCAACATTTGATACCCAACCCAACAGGATTGCTAAGTATTGTTTTACTCAAGGACAAAATGCATTTCCCTGACAATGTCTAGATTTATGAACCGATGTCCACGTTCGCTCAAACGTGTTCGCTTTTGGAAATTTGTCTAGTTCGAGGCCACGTGTTCGTACCAGTGAGATGATCGTTACTTCGGAGTAGGTTGTAGGAAGAGAGCACCGTACTTGTTCTCATCTGGGACATTTTTTGGTTATTCGCCAGATACACCGAAGCCTAGAATCTGACTGGTTGATGATAATCACAATACAACCTATCAGATTACGTGTTGCATCTGTCCGCATACAATCGCACACATAAAGACTAATTATCTTTAGCAATGATACGCATATTCCCAGGACTTTGATTGATTACGATTTCGAACAGATTTGAAGTAAATTCTATAACTGTTGTGCGAGGAACTAATCAAATACAGATGAAAGTGGCACGCTTACGGGAATTGGAATTCGCCTATTTCCTTTACCCATATGAGTTAACACTTGATATAAACAACCTTAACGTGGTATTTTGATTGTTAAATTTCCTCCACTTAGTTATATTCAAAGTAAAATCATTTGTCACGCATATTATATTCCGCGCCTATTGAAAGAGTACGTGCATAAAATGCCTCAGGCGTATTTTTAGATCCTTCACACATTTGTGAGAACCGTATTCTGCAACTGACTACTTCAAGCCTTGTCAGTAGGCAGTTACGGCCAACTGAAGGTTTCCAAAGAAAAAATACATGAGATCGTTTGACCGCCTTGGGTTCCTACAGTGCGATTGCTCCAGCGTTTACCATCGTCTCGTCCCTCTCAAACGAGACCTTAAACAAGCAAATTCCCCGTAACCCCTTCTGTGATTTGATTAGATCATATTCCGTCATCTGCGGCGCTTAAAATCCCTCACCCCAACAAGAGACTGTCTGATTACTGGCTTGTACGTTTTGTAATGCTCTTGTTGTCACGTCCAGTCCATCCGTGTGCTGATGGCACTCATGCTGCACACTCGAAGTTCACTGGACCTGCCGGAGACTTAAGGCTGTAAACAAGCTGTGGTTTCCCGCTCGGGTTAGCTGGGCAAGCAACAGGTTCCTTGTTGCGGCTGAACCATTCGACCGATCGATAAATGAACCCGATCGGTCGTGTGATTTTCGGACCGGCACAGGAGGAGGATGGGTTCCGAATCCGATGCTGCCTAAGTGTCGGTAGAGAATCACCACAAGAGAATCAATTGTGGAGCGCTGCGCCACGTGGGAAATTCGGAATGGAAAATGCTGAAGCGCTGATGACACTGAGTCAACGCTTGACTCGTCTAAGATGCACACACTATTCCAGTGTAGTCTAAATAATCACCAACAGTTAAATTTATTTTTATTACAGATGAAGGTGCAAACATCTTTGATCTGTGTGGCAAGTGATTCGAGGGAAAGAGAAAACTGCAATATTCCCATAATCGGCCAATGCATGTCAGATATCTCGTCAAGCGCACCTTTCAATATCAAAGTACTTAGGTAGTCGCATTTTATTCAAAGGAATCGGTGTTATTCGGGGAAATCACGGCCCCACTGGAATTCACTCACTCGGATATTGAGGGCCTAGACTGAATCCACTCATGCAGTGATTCATCTCAACATTCAAGTCTGGGCATGGTGACCACTTATCGGTCCATCTTGACGTGGTTCGATCCCTTACCCGACCAACAGAGGTCAATTGCCGCCAGGTTCGTTCATTCTCGTCTATGACGCACACTCAATCAACAACCATGAACATAACTTTCCCGGGTGGGGTGGAGAGGGAGGAACAGCCCACCCCATCCCAGTGAAACTTTTATTCTCGTTCCGTAACTCACTCAAAAAATAATTTTATCTGTGAACGCAGAAGTGAGTTCATTCGGACTGGACGAAGTTTAGATGGACCCGGTCCAATCGGTGACGTTTGAGGATGGAAACACTAATCATCTTGTGGGGTTCCTAGTGGAATGCCATTGGTTGGATTCACTTGAAGTTACAACGGATTTACTTAAAGCTATAGACCCTCGATAGCTCGATGAGTAAATTTCATTAAGGCCAAGTTTCATTCGAATAACACCGCTTTCTTTGAACCCAAAGCAATCGCTTGCATGCTACTTCCATCGAAAGGCGCACTTGACAAGCTTAACAATGGTAAAAGGATGCATTAATAGAATCAATCAGTAGACGGAATCCAACTATACAATGATTCACCTGGTTCGTTTATTCGTAGGCTCACTCGATCAATGGTCAAAGACATAAAGTTCCCCGGTAGGGTGTTGGGAGGGGGGAGGTTGATGAGCAGTGAAACCCAACACCACCGAAATGTTCATCCTCGCTCGGCAACTCACTCAAAAAGTACTTTTGTTTGTCTATGAAAAAACCGTTTCATTCAGACTGCTTGGGGTTTAGATAGACCCAGTCCAATCGGTGACGTAGGACTGCTGGAGAATCAATCACTTGTATTTGAAAAGGTATAGACAATAATGACCTCAATGTTCTTATGAAGTAGTTACTCTGTCTGGACGCAGTTTACTTACCGAAACGGCAAAAAGTTGTCTGATTTTGCTATAGTTTCTTGTGTTTCTCGACTTGCTATTCTGTCCGCGAGCTTTTTCCTCGTTTCCAATTATAATCTTCCTGTTCCTTATAATTTCCACTCCTGAAAATATGTCGATGATGTAGTAATTGTGTGCCCTTAACCAAAACTGTTTAAATGCCATTTTCAACTTCTCATCAACCCGGTTTCTTGCTTTAAACACAGTCAATTGTGTTGGTGACCTCAATGTTAACTTCAGCCATCACACCGTAATTAGTAATCTCCCTCATCGTGCTGCAAATAGTAAATATTTACCCCATGCAGTTATTGTTAACTATCCTGATATTATTCTGTCTCACATGCTTCCTTGTCTCCCAATGTTGGGACCAATTTGACAAGGGATCGGAACTTATCCTCCTGGGTTTTAGACCAGAAAGACTTTCTCTTCTCCAAATTTGCCCAGGTCCTTTCAATTTATTTACAAAAGCAGTGGTGTAACCGAGGGTGTTCTGGTCGATTTTGTTGGTTGTAAGCCTCTGATAAGTAGTCTAGACGGCGAATGTTTGGATTAGCCAATTCGATTATTCAGAGGCACCAGGCACTCTTGATGGTCTAAGGTTTGAATTTCACTCCTTGGGAGATCGATAATCTCCCAGAAGTTCATGCATTTGCATGCGATGGAATGTTTGTGATAACCAACAAAAAGCACTGGACGGCTGGTTCGTTCTGCTTGGACTCGTCAGTAGTGCGTACTTTTGAGCCTCTGTCGGGACTCCCGGGGAGTGAAACTCACCCAAAACCATCAAGAGTGCCTGGTGCCTCTGAACAATCAAATGGGCTAATCCAGGCATTCACCGTCTAAATTGATTGATCCATTGGTACAAGGTAATGACCGTTGACCTTGTGACTCAATGTTTGGTTTGAAGTCCCGACTTAAATGTGCGCGGTTCGAGTCCTCACAGGGACAGAAAGCGTATGCACTGCTGACGAGTAGGAAACAGGACGAAATAACTGTCCAGTGCTCTTGGTCGGTTGTCACAAACATTTCCATCGCCTTTGATAAGTAGCCTACCGATTATGTATCGAGAGCAATGGCTTGCGTAGAGAACTGACGAATTCAGTGTATCTAAGCATGGTGCGTACTCGAACTGTGAACTTCTGCCTGTTCATACAAGAGCGGTATGGTTCATTAATCTGCCAACATTTTGGCCAGCCGTGCACAGTCTGAAAGATTAAAGCATGCGCTAGACTAATTTCTCGTCTTTTTCACACTTTTCTTTCACCCTCTCTGTCTGAATATTGTGTACATTTTAAACTCTACCCACTGTGAATTTTATGTACTGTCAAGAATTCACCCTTTGTCTGTATAGAGGGGCATAGCTTGGTTTGACTTCATTATGCGGGTTGGAGTATGGGTGACACATGTCACCATGTAGATCGCTACGGCATGCTGTATTCCCTCAGGCAGGTAATAGGTAGAGGGTGGTCAAAATGAGAACTAGCACGAGGGTATGAAAATCACGACCCGGCGACTCAGTCACGTCGGTTGACTTAGGCCTCATGGAGGGGATCTCTGGATCCACGTACCTAGCGGTTAGAGACACTGAGTTTTGTGTTCGATGAAATAAACCATGGCGTTCGCACATCTACTCAATAGCACTTCAGCTTCAGTCTGCTGAATTCCGTGGTATCACCTTAACGCTGCTTTCAGGTGAATATTCAGCAACCACACAAACCAATGTATCAAACAATAAGTAATATAGTACATTAATTGGCAAATGAATGTACAACAATAACAATAACAACAACAACAGATATCAAAAAGCATACCATCAACGGACAGCAATAAGAAAAACAGAAAAAAACATTGGCATATCATGGCAATAATGAACAGTTTAGACTAAAATCTTGCGCATATCACCTGCAACGAGTTCATAGGTCGCGGGAATCTTGTGAGGTAGGGAACAGCAGAACGCCTGTAAGCCTCGCTGCGTGTCTTTGTAGGTTTGCCATCAAAAGTGGTGGATGAATAAGAAAGGCATTAAATAAGATTAGAATATAGTGGATGAGAGCAGTCAAATAAAATCTGAGAGAATATTTGACAGTCTTTGAAGTACAACAACAACAACAACAAACTTTACCAGATGTTCACGGGGACTGTGGCTATATGCCGATAGAACCTTAGGGGAGATGAGTTTAGGATCCTTCATATATAGATCGAGGAAGATATCGGGGTATTCATGAAGCCAGTAGGACAAAAATGAAGCAAAAACAAAATAGCAAAAATATAGAACGAACAGAAACAGAAAGACAGAAACAAAACGTGAGCCTTCTGGCTTTCATTCGTTCACATCAGGTGATCACAACAGGTGAGGTTACAGTTGAAAATAATGCCGTTTTAGCTGACATGTATCTATCCGGCTGGTTACTTAAGAGCAAAAAAAGAAACTGGCACTTTCCAGTTCATCGCACTTGCGATCTTTTGGAAGTGAAATAGCAATATCATAAAATTTTGGGGGTTCATTCTGAGATTCCTTTGCTAAAACCACTGCCCAATTTCCATCGAATCAGAGCGTAGAATATATGTAGAATATGTAGAATAGTCTGAGATTATGATTTGGGGTAGGGCAGGCCAAATATTAAATCGTTCGCATGCTCCATAAGAAACGAAAAATTACTCACTTGTATAGAAGAAATGTAAGCGGAAAAATGAATTAAACAGCACCTTGTAGTGCACCTTTTGAGGAGAGCAACAACGAAGATGTATGGCATTCGTAGCGTTTGAGCTGCTGATGATTGGAGAAACAATCGGTCGGGAGTTTAATTTTAGGTGGTTGAATGCCGTCTGAGAAATAGTATTATGTTTTTCAGTACGAGACTTGCAGCAGTGAGCTATCACGGGAGGAAATGATTGCTAATTTGCATTTTGCTCTCATTGATAAGCACAGAATTTGAACCAAATCAAAACGAACCAATGTGCACCCACCCACCCACACACTTTCTGGCTGTGTATTGTTTCAATCATACCTCAAGGTTTTCGTTTGCCGATATTCTATTTTCGATTTCACCGATGTTTGCCTGATTTCCAGGTCAACAGAAACAGACAATTTTTGATGGTGAATCAATGAAATACGCAGACGCATTTGCTGTTGACATTGTAAGTTTGTACCTAATAGAAAATCTTTGATGTTTGTTATAACGTGTCGTTAATTTCGGTAGAAAAAAATTCACGCATGCATTTTTAATGACAACATGGAATATTTCTGTTGTCTGTAATTCCATCAAGGACCAAGTAATATATTTGGGAAGAATAAACACTGCATGCTCTACCCATTACTCTGTGTCGCAATGTGTTGCGACGGCATGTTTCTGATAAGGTTTTCGTGTTATGCATGCAAAATTAGTGACCTTCAATCTGTATTCTGCAACAAAGAACTCTCCTCGACCAGCACCGCCTTTTCGGAATATAACACTAATACTGCTGTGAGGCACCACTCAAATTTGTGAGTAGCACGCACAAGGATGCGGCTGGTGGTTTCTTCTAACGGTCGAAAATGAACAAGACCTGATGGGGCGAATTACTGTGTTCATTATGGCAACTACAAGAATTCGCATCTATTATTGGACCGTTTCACTAACTGTCCTAGGTGCGAGTGAAAATTTGGAAGACTCTTTTCAATTGAGACATTTCGTTCTATGCATGCGAATTTACCGATACCCTGACTGTTATTCACAATCAACAATAACCCTCATTCCGCCAACGTTTTGTGGATTTATAATACCACTACTACTACTACTGCAACTACTACTATCACAACTACCGATAATAATAATAATAATATTACCAATAATAATAATAATAATATTACCAATAATAATAATAGCAATCACAATGTTACCGATGAGGTTCATCGGCTTCCCTAACCGTCTTCCACCGAGTATTCACAAAGCAATCTTACACCTAAACACCATACAGTTTGTATATCAACTGATGTGCATAATGGAACCGTTTCCGTCCTAGGCTAAATGAGTGAGATCAGATGGTAGAGAACCATCAAGGTCACTGATCTGTTTAGAGTAAATAAGACCGAAGAGACAGAGCACTGTCTCACTGTGCATCAAAAAGAATGCAGTGCATAGAATTTTAGGATGTGAATACGGAAATGAAAATATCACATATTCAATAAATTCTTTCTATGACCTTTGAACAAATACTGCGAGCATTTACGATGAGCCAATCGGTATCATTGTGTCATGAATGAATACGTCGAAATCCCGAGTCTATAGCAGGATGGAAGAAGCTTATGATTCAGCTCTTAGGATTTGTATGAATTCTTGTGATAAATTTGACACAGGAAATTGTCATCTGAAAGCTTCACAATTAACTAGTTCATTGAAATGTGAGAAAATGCGACGAAAATTCGTCAGACCATGGTGTAAGATTTCTAAATCTTGTTTTAGGTATACCAGGGAAATAACCGGAGAACAAGAATTAAGACGGGGAAAAAAGAATGGAATACAAAATATGAAATAAGGGACTGTGAATTGCCAAACTCTTTGAGCGTTCGAATTTAAAATGATAGGCGCCCGCTGTTTACCAACAAAATTATGGATTGAAAACCAAGTCCTGCAGTTGAAACAAGCTGTTTTTCAATAAATTCATTCAAGGGCCATTACAATTATATGGGCTTATTGGGATTGTAATTTTAATTGTAATAGCCAGTTATTGAATGTACCAAAAAAAAGCAGCTTGTTTCCCCAATCGGACTTTAGTTTCGATGTGGCAATGGGAATTTTTCAATGTACTGAAAAATTACGGTTGTCAAATGAGCGACTAAGATTGTTATCCGTAGTTACACCAAAATATTTATCAGTGTTTACCCTACATAAAGGATTGCTATTTGGAGACTGTCAGAAATGGGGAACGTGGGAAACCATATGGACATTTGATACGTTTGCGCGCGAAATCAACTTAGCTGCGATTGGGAGGAGAAAAGCTAGATTTGAGAAAGATTATGGGTGATGAAATTTTGATCTGGGGAAGAACAACTGGGTTGGCACATTACAGCACCATCTAAATATGTCAAACACATGCCGGGTAGACACGAGGAATGTCACAAATGTGTATGTGCAAAATGAGTGCGGCGACAGCACTGCTCCATGGTGTACCTCGCACTTTTTGATTATTGGGTTAGATGAAACCTTTCCAAGTTTAGTTATTTTGGCTATATCAATAAAACAGTTAGACAGTGGACTGATGCTTGTGCCATCCAACAGCCTCCAGCTTTTGGAAAAGCACTGAAAAAGAAATGAAACTGGAATGCTGAAGAATGGTCAAGGAAAGCACACCGAAAAGAATTGACAGAGTTGGTCAAGACAGTGCTAAAATGAATAGGGTTGGAGACTGTGTCCAGAGTGTGTCTGTTAGGCTTATAAGCTAACTGTGATGAATCATTGGGGATGTTTACTTAATGCTGAAGGCTCTTGAGGACAATTTTTTAGTCAACTTAATAGCAGAATATTTCAAAGCTATGATACGCAAGTTTGGGGATTGGAATAGTTTTGACCCCTTTTCAACAGTATGATATCATGGAAGTGCGAAATGATTCATATTACTGTTTAGATTATCAACCCAGCTAGGGAAGTAGCTCAAAATTAGCAAAGTACCAAGGTAAACTGTGGTTATTCAACAGTTATAGCACATCAGTATTTAGGAACGGTTCCCAATTATCAACGCCATGAACCGAGCTAACAGGGAGAACGATCGACGGTTGGTGAACGAATGCAGCATTGCGAGCGTCAACATCAACATCCAACTGTGGCCGTGTTTTAGACTTTCTACGAGGAAACCTTATACCATACCACGGGTGGCTGTCGTTTCCGGTCAACGGAATCCGATTCATGCAGCTTTGATAAGCACGTACAAGTGCTTGACACAGACCATTCACTTTGTCTCCGCAATGGTTTTAATTGCGGAGGGATTCTTTTCTGTCGGACATTCAGACTTTTAACCGGACAATTCTCACCATAAGTAACATCAACTTTTTAGTAACATGAGGAATTTACGTGGATAGTGAAAGAGAAGAAGACGAAAATCATCAAGAATCCATTCTGAGGGGTTCTCTGAGAAGAAAAGTATTTATGGGTCTGAATTTGCGAAAATAAATCTAATAAACTGAGAACGACAGAAAGATTTATAGGCGCACTGTCAACATACTTAAGGTTGAACTACGAACAGTAGTCACTGATGGAGGGGTATTTAACTAAGGGATTGAATAATATTTGTTTGAATAGGCTCACACGACGAGATGGAATGTGGCGAGAAGTGCCTTATTTTCTTCTAACACTTCCATTGATTGCTTTTGAGTAGCTTTTGTAGAACATAATGAATCTGTTCTTTCTTTACGTGAATAATGAATGTCCTCATGTGTCTTTGATCTTTTATATCATAGATTATAGCTTATGTAGTGCAACATAGCATGGATAGTGGGTATGTTTCTGATTGAGAGTTATCTTCAGTCCTCCATCTCTGCATCGTCTGGCAGCGAAAACCTACGAGGGTGTAAATTCTCTCAGTGGAGCTATCGCTCGAGAGGCATGGAATTTATCCGTTTCCGTATCTTTGATTCATAAACGCGCCCACGAGAACGTTGATTGAATCTTTCAACTGAATGATTGGCATAGACGCTATTTTCACCTTTCTTTGTTCTACCGTCTGCTTGAAGATATTTTCGGGTCTCTAAAAAGATGGATTGGTTATTTGTACTGCACCTATCCGGGGATACAACCCATGGCTAGTAGAATTATGGATTTGAATACTGAAAAAGGGCAGATGCTTCAATCGAAATTCCACTAACGTTGCTCCCTAAACTGATAGTGAATCCTGCCGACAGTAACTGCCACGGACCTCTCTTACCCGAGCCACAGAAACTCGCCACTGATTTGGACTTTTACTTCCACGAGGAGAGTCCTCTGTATTGACCAATATTGTATGAACAATAGCTTGATCCAGGCTGCATCTTCTCATAGGACTATCTATCCACTCACGCGATATGCGTGAAGTTCATCTCACATTCACACATCTGTTTGTCCGTTCTTCGCTCTGTTGTAATTCGGCTTAAACACACAGATATCGATAAGGTCACATGTCTATGCGACTCGTTTCACGCGTTGGATCCCGGCTGTTGTCATTTCGGATGGTGGCACGTGATGATCGAAAAAGAAAACAGGAACCATTTATTGATTGATTTACATCTTCTTTGAGTCGCTTGATGAGTTATTTCATTCAGTAAATCTCTTACTGCCGGCCGTGGTTTTTCTGTTTTCTTGCCTCGTGCATTGCTTTTCCTCCGTTTATAAATGCAGCAATGTATTCTAAGCAACGATGAAAACGTGGATATGAATATTTCGTGTTTGTGGTATTGTTCGTCATGACTAAAACAACCAAATTTCGTCAATCATTCAGGGCATGAAATCGGATTTTTGAATCAGATATTGCGTGTTTAATGTTAGGCTACCATTCCAACATTGCGGTAAATGTTGCGATAAATGGTGCATGTACAAAACAACTTACCCACTTCACTGACATGGTTCCATATGATCTACTGTTTGCATTATTATCTTATTTACCCCGTTCCAGGCATTCGGTTTATCTACCAGTTTTGTCACACTTGGCGGTCTCGGACATATCGAGCATGAAAAGCGATTGCTACACTGGGCAAATACGGCCAACGAATGTTTGGAATCGGGAACCGACCGAATTCCACCCAGATCATATGACTGGACAAATTTCGGCCGTCCCAAATAGCCGACTACGAATCGGTACAGGTGAGATGGGCATAACATGCCCACTCACTGTCAGAAAATGGAAACCTAATTCAGTGCTACTTACCCCTGAACCTATCCACACTCATCAGGCAGATTTGTATACAATCAACTGAAATTACTTTTGGACGAAATGATAAATAAACTTCATATGAAATCGGAATGAAAAGCATAGTCGATGACATATTTACAACTGGCATCCTATTTGAGTTAGGCTGTGTTTTCGAACGCATATACAAGCACATTTGAATTGGATGAATGTGAACGAGAGCTGTTTCACCCCCTTAGCGCTTGAAAGTTGAATGAATTGCCACTAGTGGTCCAAGAAGAGGGATTCCATAATCAACATATACTCATTAGTTCAAGTGGTTCGCCTCACCGAGAACGTCCTCAGCACAGGATAATGACTGAAAATAACCAATCCGTGAAAAACGTTCTGCGATGGATAAACTTGAAACTAGCCCAAACACAATTATTGACTTAGCCATCCAAATGCTGGTTCTACTGCTGGGGACAATAGCAGTAATAACCATTAATTAGTTCAGTCATCAATGATACTATGATTTGTAGAAAACTTCACAGCGAGATTCTTCTAGGATTGATTCAGATAAAGTAGAAAACAGTGGTGGTGGTGGTGGTGGTGGTGGTGGTGGTGGTGGTGGTGGTGGTGGTGGTGGT